AGGGCTGCCCTAAGACATGGACTCTCTTAGGAACACAGCCTGGTTCCCTAGCAGCTGCCTGAATCCCCTGTCCAACGTTAGGATTTTCTCCTGGGGTAGAAAGGTTTTCTGAAGGGTAGAATCCGGCCCAGGTACACCATAATTTGGGCCGGGACCAAATTTGACTTGGCTATGTTTATTAGCCAGCCTAAACGCTCCAGGCGTCTCATCACCAAGGTTATGTCCCGCTTCAGCTGTTCCTCTCAGTCTGCAAACATTAGGAGATCGTCCAGGTGAGCCACCAGTGAGATTCCCCTTAGATGAAGAGAGACACCAGGGCCTCGGCCATGATCTTTGTGAAAATCCTGGGTGAGGAGGAAAGCCCAAAGGGCAAGGCTCAGAACTGCAGGTGAAGGATTCCCCTGGGGCCCCACACTGCCAACCTGAGGAATTTCTGAAAGACATCTGCAATTGGAACGTGTAGGTAGATGTCCCTTAGGTCTATTGAGACCAGAAAGCAGTTGGGAGGAAGAAGAGACATGACCGAGAAAATGGAATCCATACGGAATCTCTTGTATTTTATGGTCTTGTTCAAGGGCCTGAGGTTCAGAATGAGTCTGTACTTCCTTGAGGGCTCTCTGACCACAAAAACGTTGGACTAAAAACCCTTGCAGATCTCTGTGGAGGGGCCCATGATGACAACCCTCTGCTCTTCCAACTCCTGCAAAGAAGAGAGCAGGGCTGAGGCCTTCTCTGCACATCTTGGGAGCTCCATCACTAACAACCTTTGTGGCGGTGGTCTCCGAAATTTAAGGCGGTACCCCTTCTCACTATACCCAGGATACAGGAACTGGAGGGCACCACTTCCCACTGTGGGAGGAAGACCCCCAATCTTCCTCCCACCAGGAGAACACCGTCATTGCGATTTTTTTTTTTTTTTTTTGGGCTGCTCAGGAGGATGGGAAATTACTCCTCCCCTGTGCTGCTTGCCCCCAGGGCCTTTTCTGCACCTCTGGCCTAATGGCTTGTACCCACTTCTGGGGACAAAATTTCCCCCCCCATGCGTCTGGAGCTTTTAAGGGGAAAGGCCTTTTTCTTGTCTGCAGTACAATCCAGCACCTTCTGAAGACTCAGGCCAAAAAGAAGATCCCCTGTGAATGGTAAGCCACAGAGTTTAACCTTCCCCTGCCATGTATTAAGCCACAGGGCTCTGTGGGCAGTTAGTTAGGGCCGCTAACCTTGCCATCATTCTTACGGACTCCGCTGAGACATCTGCAATATAGCCCACCCCTTGTAGTAAGGTCTGGAAGGATGCTAATATCTTGTCCTTCGGGGATCCTGACACAATATGGGCCTGTACCTGTGTGAGCCAATATTCCATGTTCCAAGCTACCACTGTAGTGGCCATGGCAGGCTTTAGGTTGGATAGTGTGGGATCCCAGGACTTTTTAAGAAGGGAATCCGCTCTTCTGTCCATGGTATCAGACAAGACCCCCATGTCCTCAAAAGCAAAATCCATTTTCCTGGCTTGAGACGTCGGATGGTGTCCTGGGGTATGTCCTCCCAGATCTGGACCATGGCATCACTGAACTCCTGGACAGTCTGAGGTGCGACCTAGCGGCGTCGGATGGACCGAAACATGACATCCCAGAGGTGTTCTATTGGATTTATGTCAGGTGAGCGTAGGTGCCATTCAATGGTGTCAATTCCTTCATCCTCCAGGAACTGCCTGCATACTCTCACCACATGAGGCCGGGCATTGTCGTGCACCAGGAGGAACCCAGGACCCACTGCACCAGCGTAGGCTCTGACAATGGGTCCAAGAATTTCATCCCGATACCTAATGGCAGTCAGGGTGCCATTGTCTAGCCTGTAGAGGTCTGTGCGTCCCTCCATGGATATGCCTCCCCAGACCATCACTGACCCACCACCAAAATGGTGATGCTGAACCATGTTACAGGCAGCAGAACGTTCTCCACGGCTTCTCCAGACCCTTTCACGTCTCTCACATGTGCTCAGGGGGAACCTGCTCTCATCTGTGAAAAGCACAGGATGCCAGTGGTGGACCTGCCAATTCTGGTGTTCAATTGGCAAATTCCAAATGAGCTCTACGGGCAGTGAGCACAGGGCCCACTCGAGGACGTCGGGCCCTCAGGCCACCCTCATGAGGTCTGTTTCTGATTCTTTGGTCAGGGACATTCACACCAGTGGCCTGCTGGTCATTTTGTAGGGCTCTGGCAGGGCTCATCCTGTTCCTCCTTGCACAAAGGAGCAGATACCGGTCCTGCTGATGTGTTAAGGACCTTCTACGGACCTGTCCATCTCTCCTAGAGTAACTGCCTGTCTCCTGGAATCTCCTCCATGCTCTTGAGACTGTGCTGGGAGACCCAGCAAACCTTCTGGCAATGACACGTATTGATGTGCCATCCTGGAGGAGTTGGACTGCCTGTGCAACCTCTGTAGGGTCCAGGTATGGCCTCATGCTACCAGTAGTGACACTAACCCTAGCCAAATGCAAAACTAGTGAAAAACAGTCAGAAAAGATGAGTAGGGAAAAAAATGTCAGTGGCCTCCACCTGTAAAACCATTCCTGTTTTGGGGGTTGTCTCATTGTTGCCCATTTAGTGCACCTGTTGTAAATTTCATTAACACCAAAACAGCTGAAACTGATGAACAACCCCCTCTGCTACTTACCTGACCAGATCAATATCCCAGGAGTGTCACTGACTTGATGCTACACTCTGATTACAAAGTCTTCCTTTCATTTTTTTGAGCAGTGAATTATCCATCCTGAGCACAATGACCCATGCTGGGGGATACATGAATACACATCCTAACTTTGAGAGCCACCAGCCAAAACTTTCTGTGGCTGGTGGCTCTCTATCCTGGTTGTCACTAACAGCTCCAGTCCCCATTGATTTTCATGACCAATCAGAGTGTTTTTTTGAATCCTGTAAGCACTATGACCGTTATGACGTAGTAAACCCATGCAGATTGGAGGCTTCATTTACAACAAAAGCCTTCAGCCTACTGGTGGCATAGCAGCCTAAGGGTTGCAGCGTTCATCTGTTCAATACTGCAATTTTCAGATACAATTACAGTATTAGAATTAAAACATAATTAAAAATGAAAAACAAAATTACGTTGGCGAATTTGTCAGCCTATAAAAATAAATAAAGAGCATTTTTTTATTAAAACAGTGTATCAAATAAAGCCTTATATGTTTTTTTTAAAGAAATATTTAAATGTTATTTAGGTATGCAAATTAGTTAGTTGTTAAGTTAATAACACATTGCAGCCACTGTTAAATTTGTCCTGGGCATCTAGACATCAATGACTTCTGAGCATAAAAGGCTAATCAAAACTGGATTATCCCTTTTAATCCCCCCCCCACACTCCCCAATTTCCCCTAATTTTTGGGGGGCTTTTATATAATGTAAACCAAATTGAAATTCAGCATAGGGCACCTCATATGTACAAAAGATAACATTTCGGGACCAGCAGCTCTACAAATAAATTCATTCCACGCAAAAGCCAATAAATGTAAATCATTTCACATTCTACAAACAACATCAATTCTGTAAGAAAAAAAAAAAAAATCTCCTTCCTTTTCCTCCAGTCGCTGAACGGTAATAAAAGACACATTTTAAACTAAAAAAAATATATAAAATGCAGCAAATTGTCCCGGAGAGGAATCTACACACAAATTCCTAGTCAAGCTGCTCGCTAAGGAGGGTCGTTAGTCAAAGGCTTCTACTATGATACATATAAAGATCACACGATATTGGTGGAAGCAGTTCTTGTGGCACCAAAGTGGACACTCTTCTTCAGTTGACTGCATGGAGGCTCTCTGGGAAATCACGCGGCCTTCTGGAAAAAAACCGGAATTAAGTTTATGGTCAGCGTGTTACACGGCTGTTCTGCATGCTCGGGCATGGGGCTGATGGTACGTGTTCTTTTCCATTGTCCCAGCGGGATGAGGCCCAGGAGAGGGCATGGGGGTGTAGAGGTAAATAGAAAAAGGTGGTGGTAGAGTTGGCGGCTCCACCACTGTGGAGGGTGGGGCCCTTCTGCGCTGTGGTTAATAATGTGATTGATTGGATAATTTTGTCGAGTTATTTATACCAATGCCTTGCGTAATTCACCTCTTGACAGCCCAAATACAGTAAGCTGCTGATGAAGGGCTCCATAACTGTGGAGGGTGGGGCCCTTCTGCGCTGTGGTTAATAATGTGATTGGATAACTTTGTCAAGTTATTTATACCAATGCCTTGCGTAGTTCACCTCTTGACAGCCCAAATACAGTAAGCTGCTGATGAAGGGATATGATGGGGGAGTAGCAGCGATGGGCTCTGAAATGGGGGTGGTGATTGGCTGAATTGCTGCCTGATAGTGAAGCTTCTTTGTATTGCCATTTGCCCCAGAGCAGGGATATGACTGGGCACTATGGTGCAGCACTGATGAGGGATACAAAGAGGAAAGCGGCCTTCCATAAATAATGGCATTAGTTTATGGTCAGTGTGTTAAATGGCGGCTCTGTGTGCCCGTACTGGGGCTGATAGCATGTGTCCTTTCCATTGTCCCAGCAGGATGAGGCCCAGGAGAAGAGGGCGTGGAGGCATAGATGCAAATAGAAAAGGTGGTGGTACAGTTAGCAGCTCCACCACTGTGGAGGGTGGGGCCCTTCTGTGCTGTGGTTAACAATGTGATTGGATAAATTTGTCAAGTTATTTATTCCAATGCCTCGCACAGGTCACCTCTTAGCAGCCCAACTATAGTAACCTGGTGAAGAAGGGCTCTGACGTGGGTGGGCGATGACGGGCTCCGTAATTGGAGGGTGTTTGAATGAAGCGCTGATGAGGGATACAAAAAGGCAAGCAGCCTTCCACTGTGGAGGGTGGGGCCACTCCGTGCAGCGGTAAGTAATGCGATTGGATAACTTTTGCTTAGTAAGTGCATCGAACACACATGAGGTAGCACTGGACTCCACTGGGTGTCAGAGAGGCAGAGAGGTGGGGCACATCAGACCAAAATCCTCAGAGGAAAGGAGAAGCCGGCTCCGAGCGCCAAGCCCAGCGACAGAAAGAATGCCATGATCGCTCCGGCTGTTTCTGCCTCATATACATCCACCATCCTGCAAAGACAAGTCAGAGGTGTCAGGGGAGGGAAGCAATATACAACGTACTCTGATACTTGATCATGGATAGCAGGGATATGCAATATACAACAAATACAAAGTATCGCTCAAGTCAAAAGCGAACAGATCTTACCTACTTCAATACCGGGCACTTCTACCCCCTTCCTGCCCCCAGGCCAATTTTCAGCTTTCAGCGCTGTTGTACTTTGAATGACAATTGCGCGGTCATGCAACACTGTACCCATATGCAATTTTTATCATTTTTTGAGACAGATAGAGCTTTCTTTTGGTGGTATTTAATCACCTCAGTGTTTTTTTATTTTTTGCTAAACAAACCAAAAACAACTGAACATTTTGAAAAAAATTTTTTTTTCTTAGTTTCTGTTATAAAGTTTTGTAAATAAGTGATTTTTCTCCTTCACTGATGTGCGCTAATGAGGCTGCAGTGATGGGCACTGATAGGCTGCACTGATGATGAGGCACTGGTAGGTGGCACTGATGGGCATTGACAGGCATCACTGACTGGCACTGTAAGGCAGTGCAGGAGCGGGTTGCCGTTCATAAACGGCACCCGCCATTTTGGATTGTGAGCGCTCCCTGGGAGCGCCCGGCACCGTGATCCGGTGCCTGCTGTGTCCAGAGGACAGAGCAGAACACCGATCGCTGTATGGGACCTCTCTGTGAAGTCCCGATCATGTGATCACTGATTGGCCAATCAGTGATCACATGAATAGGTGTAAGCAAGATGTCACTTCTGACATCATTGCTTACTACGTGTGAAATCTGTGAATGATCACAGAGATCACATGGTATAGGGCTATTCACAACAGCCTTGTACCATGTGACAAGCTGTGACCAATCACAGCTCACACAGTATTTCTCAATGGCTGCAAGAATGCAGCCAGAGAGAAGGAGAAATGATTGCTTTTACAGCCTTTATGGGTGTAAAAGCAATCAGTGTAAAAAAAAAAAAAATCTTCACCACCACCCACAAGTAGTACAGTGTCACTATGGTGACACTGTACTGCTAGGGTGACAGTATGTTAAAAAAACACAAATAATATAAAAAAAAATAAAAATGTAAAAAAAATTTTTTTTTTTTTTAAATTAAAAAAGTTATAAACTAAACTCTCCCCCCCCTTATGTCCCTATGCTCGATCCATGCCTGATGAAAGAACGTGCTGGTCCCTGCGCATGCTCAGAAACATGTCGCCGATGATGTTAGATGCCAATGCCACCAGCTCTGGAAGTACCAGGGACCCAGCCAGGCTTTACCATCCATGCCTCTCCTATTGCAGCGCCTATTGCTGATTGGCCGGGATCCTTTTTTCCAGAGCAGTCCTTCCATCTGGCGACAGACGTCCCGCACCTTATTCCTATGAGCCTGTTTTACTACACAGGTGTACCCTCGGGTTACAAATTTAATGCGTTCTCCGGGACTTTTTGTATTGCAAAAAATTCATAAACCGATATGCGGTTTCCCATAGGAATGCATTGAAAACCAATTAATCCGTTCCGGAGGTCAGAAAAAAGTTAAAAAAAAAGTATTTTTATCTGTTGAAAACTCTTTATAAAGTGCACTTTAAAGGCATAAATGCTGTACAGGGACATGATTAAAAAAAAATGTCGTAAATGCATTGAAAACCAATTAATCCATCCGTATTGCGAAAATAATTTGTAAACTGAGGCATTATTTTCAATCGATTTTCATTCGTAAAACAAAAATTACATTAACCGAGGCGTTCGTAAACCGAGGTACGCCTGTACTGGGATGTGAGTTGTTGAACTTACCTTTTAACAAATAAACTGTTAGAACAGTCTACACTTAGAGGCGCCTTTGTTCTCCCACTCTAGAGTACTGCTTCGCTCTATCACAGCCTGCCCTAGTGCCTACTGGATTGCCCCTTGCCTGATCTGGAACATAAGATACGCCCGTTATTAACCTCGGAAACCACTAAGCAACTTATTCCCACCCTGCTTATCTCTCACCTTGACTGTTGTAACTCCCTCCTCATTGGCCAACCTCATCGCAGGCTATCCCCCCTTCAGTCCATCATGAATGCTGCTCCCAGACTCATCCACCTTACTAACCATTCTGTATCTGCCATCCCTCTCTGCCAATCCCTCCACTGGCCTCCACTCAGTGTCCTCCGCCCCTCTTTGACAATCCTTCCACTGGCCTCCACTCAGTGTCCTCCACCCCTCTCTGTCAATCCCTCCACTGACCTCCACTCAGTGTCCTCCACCCCTCTCTGCCAATCCCTCCACTCAGTGTCCTCTGCCCCTCTTTGACAATCCCTCCACTGGCCTCCACTCAGTGTCCTCCATCCCTCTCTGCCAATCCCTCCACTGGCCTCCACTCAGTGTCCTCCATCCCTCTCTGCCAATCTCTCCACTGGCCTCCACTCAGTGTCCTCCACCCCTCTCTGCCAATCCCTCCACTTAGTGTGTACTCCATCCCTCTCTGCCAATCCCTCCACTCGGTGTCCTCCATCCCTCTCTGCCAATCTCTCCACAAGCCTCCACTCAGTGTCCTCCACCCCTCTCTGCCAATCCCTCCACTGGCTTCCATTCAGTGTCCTCAACCCCTCTCTGCCAATCCCCTCCACTGGTGTCCTCCACTCGGTGTTCCTCTCTGCCAATCTCTCCACTGGCCTCCATTCAGTGTCCTCCACCCCTCTCTGCCAATCCCTCCACTGGCCTCCACTCAGTGTCCTCCATCCCTCTCTGCCAATCCCTCCCTCCACTGACCTCCACTCAGTGTCCTCCCACCCCTCTCTGCTAATCCCTCCACTGGCCTCCACTCAGTGTCCCCCCGCCTCAGGCAATTCACCTCTTGGCAGCCCAAACACAATAACCTGCTGATGAAGGGCTCTACCACTGTGGAGGGAGGTGGGGCCCTTCTGCGCTGTGGTTAATAATGTGATTGGATAACTTTGCCAAGTTATTTATACCAATGCCTTGCGCAGTTCCCCTCTTGGCAGCTCAAATACACTTACCTGCTGATGAAGGGATATGACAGGGGGGCGTAGTGAGGGGCTCTGAAATGGGGGTGGTAATTGGCTGAATTGCTGCCTGAGCCTGATTGTGAAGCTTCTTTGTATTGCCATTTGCCCCAAAGCAGGGATATGACTGGGCACTATGGTGCAACACTGATGAGGGATACAAAGAGGCAAGCGGCCTTCCATAAATAATGGAATTTGTTTATGGTCAGTGAGTTAAATGGCCGCTCTGTGTGCCCGTACTGGGGCTGATAGCATGTGTCCTTTCCATTGTCCCAGTGGGATGAGGCCCAGGAGAAGAGGGCGTGGAGGTATAGATGCAAATAGAAAAGGTGGTGGTACAGTTAGCGGCTCCACCACTGTGGAGGGTGGTGGGGCCCTTCTGCGCTGTGGTTAATATTGTGATTGGATAACTTTGCCAAGTTTTTTTATACCAATGCCTTGTGCAGTTCACCTCTTAGCAGCCCAACTATAGTAACCTGGTGACGAAGGGCTCTGACATGGGTGAGCGATGAGGGACTCCGTAATGGGAGGGTGATTGGTTGAATGGCGGTCTGAGCCTGATAGCGAGGCTCCTTTGTATTGCCACCTGCCCCTGGAGCTGGAATATGACTGGGCACTAGGGGGGCAGCACTGATGAGGGATACAAAGAGGGTAACAGGTTCAGGTGTGGTGGAGACAGGTACTCACTTGGGTCCGAAGCACATGCAGAGACTGGCCAGGTATCCGTTGGACAGGGCAAAGACGATCATGATGCAGATGTACCAGGCGTCGTGTGCCAGTAGGACAGGCAGGTAATGGCGAGGCATGACGTTACACAGCATGAAGAGAGGCCAGAAGATGAGACGGACCACCACCATGATGGGGAGCAATTTACTGTCTTTTCCGGGCTGCAGAGAACACACCATTATCACTGGATATCATAGACATGCCATGTGTGCTGTATCTGTGTGTCAAGTGGTCAGCTACAGTAAAGAGAACCTGTCAGCTGCTTAAAGCTGCTACTTTTTTGTGCCCCTCTGATTCATTTTTGCTTTGGTGCCAAAACCTGTCCAATGAGTGCACTCTAATTAGACAGTGGGCTGGAGAACTGCAGCTGGGCGGGGCTTAGCCTAGAAGTGAGTCCTCAATATAAAGCAGCACTAAATCAGAGGGGCGCACTATGAGTTTCCTGGCTAATAAAGGTAATAGATATCAATTTGTTTTCAGAAAGCTATGTACAGCACTCCCACCAGCCATGATCTGCCCGCACTACCTAGAGAAGCAAAGGGACCCGGTGGTGATGTCATTGGATCTAAAATAAGGTATGTCATGAAAACAGAAAAGGATTTGTTTAAAAATCACGCAGCTGCCTCTTGTTTCTGTTTTTATTCATTTTATAAAAAGGACCACAAATTCAGCACTCTACCTGCTGGCTGCCATTGCCTGACATACAAGCTGCATTATGGATTTCCCGGTAGGTTGGCGTTGTACTCACCCACATGAATCTCGCTGTGAGGCTTCGTCCCGCCCAATCAAACACATTAAACATCAGAAAACAGGAGACCGGGATGAAGTACATTCCTATACACAGGACATGAAGAATGATATCATGAGACAGAGTATAACCTAGACTGCCTGCACAGAACACACGTCATGCTGCCTTCACCAATGACACTACTGCCAGATGGGGGGCAATGAGGGGCTCTGACATGGGGGGCAATGAGGGGCTCTGACATGGGGGGCAATGAGGGGCTCATGGGGGACATGGGGGGCAATGAGGGGCTCTGACATGGGGGACAATGAGGGGCTCTGACATGAGGGGCTCTGACATGGGGGGCAATGAGGGGCTCTGACATGGGGGGCAATGAGGGGCTCTGACATGGGGGGCAATGAGGGGCTCTGAATGATGAGGGGCTCTGACATGGCGGGCGATGAGGGGCTCTGACATGGGGGGGCGATGAGGGGCTCTGACATGGGGGGCGATGAGGGGCTCTGACATGGCGATGAGGGGCTCTGACATGGGGGGCGATGAGGGGCTCTGACATGGGGAGTAGAGAGGGGCTCTGAATTCGAGAGATAAGGGGCTCTAACATGGATGCAGTGAAATTCATCGACACTGGGGTTGAAATGGGGCTGTGACATAGGGAGGCAATGAGTGGCTCCGCAATAGGGAGCAATTAGGGGCTCTGACATGGGGGGCAATGAGTGGCTCTGACAAGGGGGGCAAAAAGGTACTGACATGCGGGGCAATGACATGGGGAGAAATGAGGGGTTCTGACATGGGGAAAGATGAGGGGCTCTGACATGGGGAGAAATTAGTGGCTCTAACATGGGGGGGCAAAAAGGGACTGACATGGGGGGCAATGACATGGGGGGCAACGAGGGGTTCTGACATGAGGAAAGATGAGGGGCTCTGACATGGGGGGCAATGAGGGGCTCTGACACGGTTGGCAGTGAGAGGCTCTGACATGGGGGACAGTGAGGGGCTCTGACATGGAGGGCAATGAGGGGCTCTTACATGGAGGGCAATGAGGGGCTCTGACATGGGGGGAAGTGAGGGGCTCTGACATGGCGGGCAGTGAAGGACTCTGACATGAGAGCAATGGTAGGCTCTGACATGGCGGGCAGTGAAGGACTCTGACATGAGAGCAATGGTAGGACTCTGACATGAGAGCAATGGTAGGCTCTGACATGAGGGGCAGTGAGGGAATCTGACATGAGGGGCAGTGAGGGAATCTGACATGAGAGCAATGAGAGGCTCTGACATGAGGGGCAGTGAGGGAATCTGACATGAGAGCAATGAGGGGGAGGCTCTGACATGGTGGGCAATGAGAGGGAGGCTCTGACATGAGGGGCAGTGAGAGGCTCTGACATAGGTGTTCACAATTGGAGAGATTAGGGGCTCTAACATGGATGCAGTGAAATTTTCTGATATTGGGGGTAATGAGGGGTTCCAACATGGGAAGTAATGAGGGGCTTTGACATATTGTGGGGTTGATGAGGTGCTCTACCAAGGGGGGCAATTGGAGGCTCTGACATGTAGGGTGATGAGGGGCTCTCTGACATGGGGGGTAATGAGGGGCTCCGACATGGGGAGCAATGAGGGGCTCCGACATGAGGGGTGATGAGGGGCTCCAACATGGGAGGAGATTAGAGGCTCTAACATGGATGCAGTAAAATTCTCTGACATTGGGGGTAATGAGGGGTTCCAACATGGGAAGTGATGAGGGACTCTTGACATGTAGAATGATGAGGGACTCTTGACAGACTGTAGGGGATGATGAGTGGCTCTGACATAAAGGGTGATGAGGGTTTCTGACATGTGGGGCAATGAGGTGCTCTGATATAGGTGGTGATGAGGAGCTTTGACATGGGGGGCGATCAGGGGTTCTGACATGGGGAGTGATCAGGGGTTCTGACATGGGGGGGATATATTTGGGTAGATAAGGAGCTCCAACATGTAAAGAAGTGAGGGGTTCTAACATGGATGCAGTGAATTCTTTTGATACTGGGAATGATGAGGGGCTCTGACATACATAGTATATGATGATGATGAAATACAATATGGAGGATGGTCAGAAGATCCAACGTGGGGTTGTTTTTGTTTGGTTATGACTTTTATATACAGTATATGTTTCTGTGTTCTCAGATGATGAGGGGCTTTCACATAGTAGGGGATGAGGGCCTCTGACATTGGGGTGTTGAGGGGCTGCAACAAAGTGGGCTATGCGGGGCTCTGACATGGGGGGCTGATGAAGGGCTATGATATGGGGGGGCAATAAGAGGCTCTAACATGGAGTTGTTTTTCTTTTGTTATTGCTTTTATGTACTGTATATTATATGTCTACTCAGGTGATATAGGGCTCCGACATCAAGAGTATTGAGGGGCTTCAACATAGTGGGGCAATGAGTGGCTACAAAATGAGAGGTGATAAGGGGTTCCAACATGAGACTTGATAAGGGGCTACGACATGGGGGGACAATGAGGGGCTCCAACATGGGGGGTGATGAGGGGCTCCAATATGAGAGATAAGGGGCTACTGCATGGGGAGCAATGAGGGGCTCCAACACTAGGGATGATGAAGGGCTCCAACATGAGAGAGAGGGGCTCCAACATGGGTGAGCATTGAAGGGCTCCAACACTAGGGATGATGAGGGGCCCCAACATGAGAGAGAGGGGCTACAACATGGGGGAGCAACGAGGGGCTCCAACACGTGGGGCGATGAGGGGCTCTGATGTGGACAGCAATGAGGTGCTCCAACATGAAGGGGTGATAAGGGGCAACATTACATTGAATGAAAGCATGAAAGCCTGCAAATGGAACAGCAGAGACCTTCCAGAGAAGATCTGGTGGCCCATAGAAGCACACAAAGACCCTACTGTCCTGCTTCTCAATGTTCATTAGATGTGCTCACCTGTTTGTTATCTCTACGGTCACCAGACAATGTCACCCACCTGCTTCGTCATATTTCAGTACTCACCCCATGAAGAATTGCCAGCAATGCGGGACTTCACATCGGCAGTGACAGCGGGGAAGATCCCAATAGTGACTGCGAACACCAGACAGACGGACAGGGCCAGCACCCAGATCTGTGGAGAGATACGAGAGACATTATACACTTAGAGGAAGGTGTTTAATGATACATAGTTAGTCTGATTGACATGAGAACACAAGTCCATCCAGTTCAACCAACAGAGAAAAGAAAACACACAAATAGAAAACCTCCATATACACAATCCTATACCCACACCTGATCCAGAGGAACACAATAAAGCACGATCCAATTTGCTCCAGAGGCAATCGGGTATTCCTTGGATCAACGTTACCTATAAATGTTAGTATCCAGTTATATTATGTATATCTAGGAAAGAATCCAGGACTTTTTTAAAACAATCTACTGAGTTGGTCAGAACCAGTGCTTGAGGGAGTCTATTCCACATTTTTACTGCTCTTACTGTCAAGAAGCCTTTCCATATTCAGCGATTAAATCACTTTTCTTCCTGTTCTCTAATGGCCTGTATGTTCTCTTGTCCCTCCCACAGCCTAAGATTGGTCAGTGAATGAAGAAGCAGCAGACTGATGAGCTCCCCTTTGTCATTCTGCTCTTTCTGCCTATCAGCATGCTGCTTTTTAGCACATGAGCACTGCATCACAACTGATTTGCTCCCTGTGCTGTTTCTCTCTCTCCCAGTCTGAGCTCTGCTATACAGGGACTGCGGGCAGGCTGTCTTAATGAATGGGCACTGCCCTGGGGCCCCGGGTGCATTGGGGGCCCCATGAAAATTTTGCTTTACATCATACTTGCCAACTTTCCCAGATTTGAAAGGACAGCCATGCTTTTAACTAAGCTGTCCTGGAATGGCCATGTCCTGGGCAGCATCCCGGAATGTGTTCTGTACTCTCCTGATTCTCCCCCCCCCCCCCCAATACGGTGTCCGTCTGCCTCTTCCCTGTACTGTACCCTTTGTGTTGATTAGTCTCTGATTTATGACATGTTTTCTTGTTGTTTAAAGTTGATTTTAGTGAAAGTGCTAATAAGTAAATGTTTCATTCTATCAACTATTTATACTGTAATTCCTGAGAGTAGGAGCGTAAATTGGAGAAGGTTGGTAGGGGTCCCAGTGCTTTACTGTGTCCAGGGGCCCATGATGCTATTAAGATGACCCTGACTGAGGGAGGCTGATGTCAAGTTACATTCAGGTACATCAATTGTATTTAAAGCGGAGCTCCACCCAAAAGGGGAAGTTCCACATTAAGGATTGGCACCTTTGGGGGGCGGGGACCCGAATTTGACAGGCACCCGCTCCCACTTCCGGTCCGATCGCCTAGGCGATCGAAAGCAGAAGGTGTCCTCCCTTCCCGTAGTCTTTTGGGACACGTGACAGGCCCATAAGACTACAGGACCATTCAGGAAGCTCGCGCATGCGCAGTGGGCACCCAGCTGTGAAGCCGCAAGCTGCACAGCCGGGTGCCCACACTGAAGATGCCGGCCTCCTGGAGTACAGGGCAGCCGGTGAAATGGGCTGCGGGACACACACCGCAGGACTGGTAAGTGGCTGTTTTTTAAAAGTCAGCAGCTACAGATTTTGTAGCTGCTCACTTTTATTTTTTGACAGCGTAAGTGGAGCTCCGCTTTAAGTAATACGTTTAATGCTGTAATAAGACAATGAAAAAACTGAAAGCGCTTTGTGGCTAATTAGCTCAGTACATTCAGGTCTGGAGAGTACCACAGTGCATTCCAGGTGAGCCCTGCGACTGTCCAGTCCAGTGCAGTAAGGCCTCCAACGTCAGGGCTGAGAAGCTGCTGATCTGAATTATAATTTTGATTGAAGAGAAAAAGAGCTAGAAGAAAAAGATAACCATCCTCCTAGGACACTAGCAAACAACTGAGGCATGCTGGGAGTAGGAGGAGTCACTTTCTCTTGTTTGCCAGTGTCCTGTCCCCCTGTAGGTGACTGTACAACCGATCAGTCTCAAAATTCCTGTGTCCCATAATGTGTCATTGCAACTATGTCCTTGATTGTGGATCAAATAGCCATGAAAGGGTTATTCTAATGCTAAGAAGCAGCTATAAACCTCTTGTGTGGTGACCCCCATACTGTGGCTCATTGCGATAGAAATGTATAGTTTGGATCAGATTGGTGACCGCCACGCAAGGACAAACCTTCTTCAGGATGCGGATGATGGATGGTTTCCCTTGTTCAGCCTTATTCCCTCCAGCTTCCGTTGCGGGATCACCTACAGAGGATACAAACCAATCACATTATTGATTCCTACATAGGGTACAACTGAGCACCCCCCCAAAGGAATCACTAAAGACCAGCTCTCCTCTATAGGAGGGGTACACATGTGCCAGCTATACATGCTGGATGAAAGTAGAGAATCTGTATTTCATACCACAGCCAGAGCTTTCCTTTTACTCTCTAAGACGGGCGTCTCCAAACTTTCCAAAGAAAGGGTCAGTTTACTACCTTTCAGATTTTAGGGGGCCAGACTGTGCCCAGGAGGATTAGAAAATGCCCCAGTTTCAGTGGGAGTACGCAATGACCCCTTTCAGTTGGTGTCAGATGGACAATGATGGTGCCCCATCATTGGTGTCAGTGAAAGGAATAGTGCACGAAGGGCCAGAAAAAGGCAAGCTGAGGGCTGCATCTGGTCCCAGGCCACAGTTTGGGGACCACTGATCTAAGCCATCAATTCTTAACTAGGGTTCCTCCAGAGGTTGCTAGGTGTTCCTTGAGCTGTGGCTGACTGACGTCCCATAAGATGATGCCTGCATAATCCTGGGTCCAACACCACTTGCTACATTTTTTTCAACTGGCCATAATGGAGCATTGTTCCCACTGACCTTCAATCAAAGTAATACAAAAAGGTACAAACCTTTTTAGAATAACAAACACGTCATTCTTACCTGGTCTGTGCAATTGCTTTCACACAGAGCAGTCCTGATCCTCCTCTTCTAGCGTCCCCCACTGGTGCTCTTGGCTCTTCCCTCATGCCAAGTGCCCAAGCTCCTGCTGCTGAGTCTGAGCCAATGAAGAAGGAGAGACTGCTACTCTAATGCACAATATTAAATCAAGGTGGTGCTCAGGTAAGTATTGGGGGGGCTGAGGGAGGAACTGCTCACTGAAGATTTTTTTACCTTCATGCATAGAATGCATGAAGATAAAAAAAACCTTCAACCTTTAGAACCACTTTCATTTATTTTAGCACGGGTTCCTTGAGACCTGAAAATTATTTTAAAGGTTCCTCTGGGGGTAAAAAGGCTACTTTGTATAACAGAGACTTCTCCTGTCCTCTTTTATTGGATCCCTTTATTTACCACTCCATAGTAGAAACGATGGACATCAGTAAAGCAGCGGCTGGGACTTATAGTACTTTGGTAGTTAGAGATGTGGAGTGTATCTATGTTTGGGGTGATTGGTCTTCCCTGCCCGGGAAGAGGGCCATCATAATAAAAAAAAAAATAAAAAAAAAAAATATATATATATACATACACACACAGTATATTGCCAAAAGTATTGGGCCAGCCCTCCAAATCATGTGATTCAGGTGTTCCAATCCCCTCCATGGACACAGGTGTATACAATCAAGCCCCTAGGCATGCAGACGGCTTCTACAAACATTGGTGAAAGAATGGGTCGCTCTCAGGAGCTCAGTGACTCCAAGCGTGGTCCCGTGATAGGTGGCCACCTGGGCAATAAGTCCATCCGTGACATTTCCTGGCTACTAAATATTCCACGCTCAACTGTTAGTGGGATTATAACAAAGTGGAAGCAACTGGGAACAACAGCCACTCAGCCACCAAGTGGAAGGCCACGTCACATGACAGAACGGGGTCAGCGCATGCTGAAGCGCACAGTGCGCAGAAGTCGCCGACTGTCTGCAGAGTCAATAGCTAAAGATCTCCAAACTTGGTGTGGCCTTCAGATGAGCCCAACAACAGTGCATAGATAGCTTCATGGAATGGGTTTCCATGGCCGAGCAGCTGCATCCGAGCCTTCCATCACCAAGTGCAATGCAAAGTGTCGGATGCCGTGGCGTAAAGCACGCTGCCACTGGACTTTAGAGCAGTGGAGGCGTGTTCTCTGGACTGACCAATCACGCTTCTCTGTCTGGCAATCTGATGAACGTGTCTGGGTTTGGCGGTTGCCAGGAGAACGGTACTTGCCTGACTGCATTGTGCGAAGTGTAAATCAAGGTCCATAAAGACATGGAGGAGCCAGTTTGGGGTGGAGGAACTTTACTGACCTGCACAGAGTCCTGACCTCAACCCCATAGAACACCTTTGGGATGAATTAGAGCGGAGACTGCGAGCCAGGCCTCCTCCACCGACATCAGTGCCTGACCTGACAAATGTGCTTCTGGAAGAATGGTCCAACCTTCCCATAGACACCCTCCTAAACCTTGTGGACGGCCTTCCCAGAAGAGTTGAAGCTGTTATAGCTGCAAAGGGCGGGGCCAACTCAATATTGAACCCTACGGACCAAGACTGGGAGGCCATTAAAGTCCATGTGCGTGGAAAGGTAGGCGGCCCAATACTTTTGGCAATATAGTGTGTGTGTGTATATGTGTGTGTGTATATACAGTTGTGTTCAAAATAATAGCAGTGTGTTGAAAAAAGTGAATAAAGCTGAAAATCCTTCTAATAGCTTTTATTTCCATCCACACAAATGCATTGGGAACACGACACATTCTATTCCAAATCACAACATGAAGAAAAATACATAAAATTTGTGTTGTTCCTCTAAAAAAATGGAAGAAAAATGAATATTAGACGGTTCAAAAAAAAAGCAGTGTTTGTATTCTTCTTTCCAAACTCAAACATTCACTATATAAACTGAGAAATGTTTGAAGATTTTGCTTTCCTTTGAATGACTTCATGAATATTTGGTTGTAGTCGCACTGTTTCTGAGAACTGCTGTACATCTGTGTTGCATGGAGTCACCCAACTTCTGGCCCCTGTGATCAGGTATTCCAGCCCAGGATGATTGGACCACATTCCACAGTTCTTCTCTATTTCTTGGTTTTGCCTCAGAAACGGCATTTTTGATGTCACCCCACAAGTTTTCTATTGGATGAAGATCCGGGGATTGGGCTGGCCACTCCATAACGTCCATCTTGTTGGTCTGGAACCAAGATGTTGCACATTTACTGGTGTGTTTGGGGTCATTGTCTTGTTGGAACACCCATTTCAAGGGCATTTCCTCTTCAGCATAAGGCAGCATGACCTCTTCAAGTATTCTGATGGATTCAAACTGATCCATGATCCCTGGTATGCGATAAATAGGCCCAACACCGTAGTATGAGAAACATCCCCATATCATGATGCTTGCACCACCATGCTTCACTGTCTTCACAGTGTACTGTGGCTTGAATTCAGTGTTTGGGGGTCGTCTGACAAACTGTCTCCGCCCACTAGACCCAAAAAGAACAATCTTACTTTCATCAGTCCACAAAATGTTGCCCCATTTCTCTTTAGGTCGGTCAATGTGCTCTTTGGCAGATTGTAACCTCTTCAGCACACGTCTTTTTCCCAACAGTGGGACTTTGCGGGGACTTCTTGCAGATAGCTTGGCTTCACATCGGCGTCTTCTAATTGTAACAGTCCTCACAGGGAACGTCACACCTTCTTTCATCTTCCTGGAGCTGATTGTTGGCTGAGTCCGCGCCATTTTGGCTATTCTTCTATCCATTCCAATGGTATTTTTTTTCGCTTTCTTCCACGTCTTTCAGGTTTTGGTTGCCATTTTAAAGCATTTGCGATCATTTTAGCTGAGCAGCCGATCATTTTCTGCACTTCTTTATATGTTTTCCCCTCTCCAATCAACTTTTTAATCAAGGTACGCTGTTCTTCTGAACAATGTCTGGAACGACCCATTTTCCTCAGAATTTCAGAGAGAAATGCACTGTAACCAGCATGTCCAACATTTGCTGCCTTCCTTCCTTAAATAAGGGCAATAATTGCCACCTGTTTTTCAAAGAATGAATGACCTCACTAATAGAACTCCACACTGCTATTATTTTGAACATGCCCCTTTCAGTGAGTGATTCAATGACACAGAATCAGCAGCATGCATGTCATGACTGTCGGGTCTGTTGGATTTCTATTACTCTACTACACCTGCTAGGAAATTATTTGCCATGTAGAATAATCATTTCCACCAAAAACAGAGATTGATCCAGTTAGTGATGTCTGATGCTATTATTTTGAACACAACTGTATATATATATATATATATATATATATATATATATATATATATAGATATAAAAACACCTGACATCTAGACAAATACAATAGATCACGGCTCAAGCAGAGGGATGCACAGTAATGGACCACTTACCCTTTAGCAGATCTTTCTTCAGCTCCATATCAGTGCCATTACTGGCTGTGTTTTCAGGTTCTTACTGGTGTAGTAGCGATAGAATTCCTGAAATCACAGAGATTGATTAATGCCAATAAGATTATAATGTGACCCCACTTCTATGCAGCACATGATTTCAGTGAAGTGTCCAGAAACATATACAATGTGCAGAGGAGTAATGAGGCTGCAGAGTCTCCAGTATTTTATGAAAAATTTTATCAGCAATCACCCTTTGAATGAGCACAATGCCTGCCATCCAATTGTAAGCCGAGCTAGGGAGTACATATACATCCAGAGATGCCTTCTTTCATACAAATCGATGTGCACAGAGCCCTCTGGGAATATACTACTACAAGGGTATAGAAGGACATTCTCTTCTATCCTCATATACGTTTCACATTGATGATCCCAATAAAACTCTCAAAGGACAACAAGGGAGAGGAACTACAACCCAAATTCCAAAAAAGTTGGGACGCTGTGTAAAATCTGCATAAAAACAGAAGGCAATGATTTGCAAATCTTTTAAACCCGTTTATTTTAATTTTATTGATATTATGTAATGCAGACGATGATATAATTGAAATCTTTGCAACTTTATGTTGAGGAACATTATTCTGAAATCGTTCGTCAATTTTTAGATGCAGCTTTTCACTGGTGAACCTCTGCCCACCTTTGCTTCTGAGACTCTCTAAGATGCTCTTTTAATACCCAAACATGTTACTGAACCGTTACTAATTCACCTATTTAGTTGAAAATTGTTCTTCTGCTCGGGTTCAAACTGATGCGGTGAGGAATCTGCAGAGTTTTCTGTGCGAATTCTGCACCACATCAGAATTGCACCCGTTCATGCGAACCGCTGCGGGTGTGTATGTTAAAGCGGAGTTCCACCCAAAGGGGGAAGTTCCGCTTTAAAGATTGGTCCCTTTAGGGAGCGGGGGGGAAACGGGTACAGTGGGGCAAAAAAGTATTTAGTCAGCCACCGATTGTGCAAGTTCTCCCACTTACAAAGATGAGAGAGGCCTGTAATTGGCATCATAGGGAGACCTCAACTATGAGAGACAAAACGAGAAAACAAATCCAGACAATCACATTGGCTGATCTGGAAAGAATTTATTTTCAAATTATGGTGGAAAATAAGTATTTGGTGAATATGAAAAGTTCATGTCAATACTTTGTTATATATCCTTTGTTGGCAATGACAGAGGTCAGACGTTTCCTGGAAGTCTTCACAAGGTTGGCACACACTGTTGCTGGTATGTTGGCCCATCCTCCATGCAGACCTCCTCTAGAGCAGTGATGTTTTGGGGCCGTCGCTGGGCAACACGGACTTTCAACTCCCTCCAAAGGTTTCTATGAGGTTGAGATCTGGAGACTGGCTAGGCCACTCCAGGACCTTGAAATGCTTTTTACGAAGCCACTCCTTCGTTGCCCGGGCGGTATGTTTGGGATCATTGTCATGTTGGAAGACCCAGCCACGTTTCATCTTCAATGCCCATGCTGATGGAAGGAGGTTTGCACTCAAAATCTCACGATACATGGCCCCATTCATTCTGTCCTGTACATGGATCAGTCGTCCTGGTCCCTTTGCGGAGAAACAGCCCCAAAGCATGATGTTGCCACCCCCATGCTTCACAGTAGGTATGGTGTTCTTTGGATGCAACTCAGCATTCTCTCTCCTCCAAACACGACGAGTTGTGTTTCTACCAAACAGTTCTATTTTGGTTTCATCTGACCAAAAGTGGAACTCCGCTTTAAGTGAACAACACCCTGAAAGCGGTCCACAAAACACAGTGCGATGTGCAGAATCGGATCTCATAGGTGTGAATACCCGTGCGATCCAATTCAAGTGTGGACCAAAAAAGGGTCCTGCGTGTTTTCGGTGCGGTTCGATTAGAGCCATACAAAATGTACGACTCCGATCGCACCGCACACAAATCATATGTGATTTGTACAGCAATGCGGTGCAGTTCCTGTGCGAATCACATGCTATGTACTGCACCACACGTATGTGAACCCGGGCTCCAGCTCGTTCTTGTTTGTACCGCTTATTTTGCCCACTTTTTCTTGCCCCGTTCTAACTATTCTGAGGCGTGTTGCTGCCATCAATTTCAAAATGACTTTATTATTTTGGTAAAATGGTCCATTTTCTCAGTTTAAACATTTGATATGTTTTCTGTTTTCTATTGTAGATAAAATACGGGTTTATGAAATTCCCAAATCACCGCATTCTGTTTTTATGTATATTTTATAGAGTCCTGGTTTTTCTGGGTATTGGAGTTGTACCAGGGGTGAACTGACAACTCATGGGGCCCCCGGGCAATAGGGGATCATGGGGCCCCTGTGTCCTTGCCCAAACTCAAAAAAGCCTATGAAAAAGGTACCAGGGCATCTCATGGGGCCCCCTACTGACCCTGGGCCCTTGGGCAGTGCCCAAGTTTCCAAATGGTCAGTCCGCCCCTGGGTTGTACACTTGCTTGGTTTCTAGGGATGTATTAAAGCTGATGTAAATCCATACTGGATGACATTTAGTTTGATACACAGCCTGCAAAGCAAACTATTTTTTGAACATCAAATCCTTTTTTTTTTGGGAGATGTCGGCAGAGCGTTGTCACCCCATAACAGGAAGTAGCTGAACAGGACTCTTCGTGGCAGAATCACCAGGGATTGTATTTATGAAAGCTGCATATCCAGAAATATTAAAAAATTACTTATGAAATTACCCCAGCGCAGTGGCGTCCCTAGGCAGGTGTGGGGGGTGCGCACCACACCGGGTGACACCTATCGCATGGGGTGACACCGGACCCGCTCCACGAAAAGGTAAGTTTTAAAGCAAGCCGACGATCCCCGCAGGATGGATCGGATCTGCGGATTGAGCATAATGGATCGGAGTCTGATCCATTATGCTCCCCAATTCACAGATCCTATCCATCCTGCGGGGATCATCGGCTTGCTTTAAAACATATCTTTTCGTGGAGAGATCAGTTAACCCCGTATAGGTTGTAAGCCGATGATCCTCGCAGGATGGATCGAATCTGTGAATTGGGGAGCAGAATGGATTGGACTACGATCCATCATGCTTAATCCGCAGATCCGATCCATCCTGCGGGGTTCGTCGGAGGGGTGACACCAAGTGATATAGCACGGGTGACACCAACACTAGGGACGTCCCTGCAGCAGCATGTTGCAGCTTACACTGGATTTTAGTGGTTGATTTCACATCTGAAAAAAGTCTTTTAGATAGGATAATCTTTAATTTGTATGGCCAGCAGGTGGCGCAGTGAGCCCAGGATGATTCTAATATATACTGTATAACCCCTCCCACAGCTACAGTCAGCTGAAAGTGATCACTGTCTGTTCATACAAAGCAGGGGTCTCCAAATTATGGACCGCTCAGGGGCGGACTGACCATTTGGAAACTCGGGAACTGCCCAAGGGCTAGGGGTCAGTAGGGGGCCCCATGAGATGCCCCTGGTACCTTTTTCATAGGCTTTTTTGAGTTTGGGCAAGGACACAGGGGCCCCATATCCCCTATTGCCCGAGGGCCCCATGAGTTGTCAGTCCACCCCTGGGACCGCTACAAGATTTTATCTGGCCTGCAGCTAATGTGCACAGATAGAGGATCCAGATCAGTTCATACTTATGGGGACTCTGATAGCGACACTGATGTAAGGGGGGAACTCTGATAGGGACACTGAAGTAAGGGGGAACTCTGATAGGGACACTGAAGTAAGGGGGGACTCTGATGGGACACTGATGTAAGGGGGGACTCTGATGGGAACACTGAAGTAAAAGGAGATTCTGAAAGGGGCCCTAATGTAAGCGGTGACTCTAATGGGGACACTGATGTAAGGGGGGGACTCTAAATGGGACCCTGATGTAAGGGGGAACCCTGATGGGGGCACTGAAATAATGGGGAGCCCTGATAGGGACACTAAAATAATAGGGAACCCTGATGGGGACACTGAAGTAGAAAGAAACTGATAGGGGCCCTAATGTAAGGGGGAACGCTGATGGGTACACTAAAGAAGAGGAGACTTTGAATGGGAACCCCCTGATGTAAGGGGGAACCCTGATAAGGGGGAACCCTGATGGGGACACTGAAGTAATGGGGAGCCCTGATGAGAACACTGAAGTAGAAAGAACCTGTGATGGAGCCCTATAATAAGGAGGGACTCTTATGGGGACACTGATGTAAGGGGGAACTCTGATGGGGGCACTGAAGTAAAGAGGACTCTGAATGGGATACTGATGTAAAGGGGGAACCCTGATGGTGTCACTGAAGTAGAAAGAAACTGATAGGGGCCCTAATGTAAGGGGGGGACGCTGATGGGGACACTAAAGAAGGGGAGACTTTGAATGGGACCCTGATGTAAGGGGGAACTATGATGGGGACACTGAAGTAATGGGGAGCCCTTATGGGGACACTGAAGTAGAAAGAACCTGTGCTGGGGCCCTATAATAAGGAGGGACTCAGACGGGGACACTGAAGTAAATGGGACTCTGAATAGGATCCTGATATAAAGGGGGACTCTGAATGGGACCCTGAAGTAAGGGGGAACCCTGACGAGGACAATGAATTAGAAACTGATAGGGGCCCTAATGTATGGGGGGACTCTGATGGAGACACTGAAGTAAGGGGGGACTCTGAATGGGACCCTTGTGTAAGGGGGAACCCTGATGGGGACACTGAAGTAAGGGGGGACTCTGAATAAGATTCTAATGTAAAGGGGGACTCTGAATGAGACCTTGATGTAAGGGGGACCCCTGATGGGGACACTGAAGTAAGAGGGAACCCTGATGGGGACAATGAATTATAAAGAAACTGATAGGGGCCCTAAAGTATGGGGGGACTCTCATGGGGACACTGATCTAAGGTGGAACTCTGATAGGGGCACTGAAATAAATGGGACTCTGAATGAGATCCTGATGTAAGAGGGAACCCTGACGGCGACAATAAATTAGAAAGAAACTGCATAGGGCCCTAATGCATAGGGGGACTCTGATGGGGACACTGAAGTAATGGGGGACTGTCCAAATGGGACCCATGTGTAAGGGGGAACCCTGATGTGGGACAATGACGTAAGAGGGGACTCTGAATATGATGTAAAGGGGGACTCTGAATAAGACCTTAATGTAAGGGGGAACCCTGATGGGGACAATGAATTAGAAAGAAACTGATAGGGGCCCTAAAGTATGGGGGGACTTTGATGGAGGAGACACTGAAGTAAGGGGGAACCCTGATGGGGACACTGAATAAGGGGGACACTGAATGGGACCCTGATATAAGGGGGAACCCTGATGGGGACACTGAAGTAAGGGGGGGGGACGCTAAAGGGGGACCCTGATGGGGACACTGAAGTAAGACACTGAGGGGGACCCTGAATGGGACCCTGGGGACATGAAGTAAGGGGGACGCTAAAACCCTGATGGGGACACTGAAGTAAGGGGGGACTCTGAATGGGACTCTGATATAAGGGGGAACCCTGATGGGGACACTGAATGGGACCCTGAATGGGACACTGAAGTAAGGGGGGACTCTGAATAGGATTCTGATGTAAGGGGGAACCCTGATGGGGACACTGAAGTAAAGGGGGACTCTGAATAGGATCCTGATGTAAGGGGGAACCCTGATGGGGACATTAAAGTAAGGGGGAAGTAGGAAAAGACTCTGATAGAGACCCTAATGTAAGGGAGGATTCTGATGGGAACACTGAAGTGAGGGGGGGGGGGACTCTGAATGGGACTCTGACATAAGGGGGAACCCTGGTGGGGACACAGAAGTAATGGGAAACTCTGATGGGGGTCCTAAATTAAGGGGGATCTGATGAGGAGGATCTGTGTTGTGGGGGGGGGGGCCCTAAGATGGACTCTGATGTAAAAGAGTCCACCTTAGGAGCCTGTACAGTTGTACAGACTCCTCCTCTGTACTGAAATGGCCAGTCAGACAGCGCCGCTCCTCACAGTGACCAGAGAAGAATGTTCTGGAATCTGGATCACACAGCATTTTGTTCCCTCCCTCTCCTAGTCTGAAGAGCCGGACTGGGCGGTCCTACTCCGGTCCCCAATCTATGGAACACACGAGATCGTTCTTTTCAGCCACATTACCTCCAGGTCATATTACAGATGATTGTTAACATTTAGTGAGCTGCCCCCCTCATGTCCTATGTGGCCTGAAGAATGGCGGCTTCCTGCAGCCCTGGGTTAGGGCCCCTGTCAGTATGAATCCATATATGGGATTTAGAATAAAACAGATCATTACATTAAAAACTCGACATGTCTCTGATTTCTGACCCTGAACTCAGCGATGCAGCAAATGTGGAGAAATCCCAGATACAACCAATCCCGGGGCTGCTCACAGTCTGGAGGTCGGTACTCACTTACCAGCTTGGGAAGCGCCAAGTATGACAGGAGAGCCAATAAGATGACCACACAGGCTGTGATGAAATAGCCAAACGCACTGTCCTCCAGTTTTGAGCCACCTGCAGAAATACAGACCAGGGTTACTGGGAAATGAGGGGGGTATGGACTGGTGTGAATGGGAAAGGAGGGGGGCATGGACTGGTGAATGGGAAATGAGGGGGGCATGGACTGGTGTGAATGGGAGAAGAGGGTGATAGGGACTGGGGTTAATGGGAGAAGAGGGGATAGGGACTGGGGTTAATGGGAGAAGAGGGTGATAGGGACTGGGGTTAATGGGAGAAGAGGGTGATAGGGACTGGGGTAATGGGAGAAGAGGGTGATAGGGACTGGGGTTAATGGGAGAAGAGGGTGATAGGGACTGGGGTTAATGGGAGAAGAGGGTGATAGGTGGGGTTAATGGGAGAAGAGGGTGATAGGGACTGGGGTTAATGAAGAAGTGGGGAAATGAAGTAAGGGAATGGGAAAAGAGGACGTTATGAACTAGCGTAATGGGAGAAGAGAGCGATATGGACTGGTGTTAATAAGAGAAAAGGGTGATAGGGACTGGCATTAATGAAGAAGTGGGTGATAGAGAATGGTGTTAATGGAAGAAGAGGGGGATATGGACTAGTGTTACTGGCATTGAGGGGGGCATGGACTGGTGATACTGGGAGTTGCGGGGGATATAGACTGGTGTTGTTGGCAGTGTTGGGGAATATGGACTGGTGTTACTGGGAGTTGAGGGGGATATGGACTGGTGCTACTAGGAGTTGAGGGGGATATTGACTGGTGTTACTGGGAGTTGAGGGGGATATGGACTGGTGTTACTAGGAGTTGAGGGGGATATGGACTGGTGCTACTAGGAGTTGAGGGGGATATGGACTGGTGTTACTGGGAGTTGAGGGGGATATGGACTGGTGTTATTGGCAGTGTTGGGGGATATGGACTGGTGTTACTGGGAGTTGAGGGGGATATGGACTGGTGTTATTGGAGTTGTTGGGGGATATGGACTGGTGCTACTAGGAGTGAGGGGGATATGGACTGGTGTTACTGGGAGTTGAGGGGATATGGACTGGTGTTATTGGCAGTGTTGGGGGATATGGACTGGTGTTACTGGGAGTTGAGGGGGATATGGACTGGTGTTATTTGCAGTGTTGGGGGATATGGACTGGTGTTACTGGGAGTTGAGGGGGATATGGACTGGTGTTACTGGCAGTGTTGGGGGATATGGACTGGTGTTACTGGGAGTTGAGGGGGATATGGACTGGTGTTACTGGGAGTTGAGGGGGATATGGACTGGTGTTATTGGCAGTGTTGGGGGATATGGACTGGTGTTACTGGGAGTTGAGGGGGATATGGACTGGTGTTACTGGCAGTGTTGGGGGGATATGGACTGGTGTTATTGGCAGTGTTGGGGGATATGGACTGGTGTTACTGGGAGTTGAGGGGGATATGGACTGGTGTTACTGGGAGTTGAGGGGGGGACTGGTGTTACTGGCAGTGTTGGGGGGTATGGTGTTATTGGCAGTGTTGGGGGATATGGACTGGTGTTACTGGGAGTTGAGGAGGATATGGACTGGTGTTACTGGCAGTGTTGGGGGGATATGGACTGGTGTTACTGGGAGTTGAGGGGGATATGGACTGGTGTCACTAGGAGTTGAGGGGGATATGGACTGGTGTCACTAGGAGTTGAGGGGGATATGGACTGGTGTCACTAGGAGTTGAGGGGGATATGGACTGGTGTCACTAGGAGTTGAGGGGGATATGGACTGGTGTGTTATTGGCAGTGTTGGGGGATATGGACTGGTGTTACTAGGAGCTGAGGTGGGCATGGACTAGGCATACTGGGAAAGGAGGGGGCTATTGACTGGAGTTTACTGGGCGAGAAGGGGTTATATGGACTGGAATGGGGGGAACAGAAGACGTTGTAGTCATCAGGAAGGGAAAGTCATTTCTTATAGTCAGCAGATTTCTGGATGGAGAGGAATGGGAGGTGTCACTTCTCACCGCCAAACCTAACATGACAAACGCTGATAGCGAAGGCCACTTACTAGCAATGGCGCAGATCATGGCGAAAGCGGCAAACGTCCCTGCGAGTCCCTGACCGCTCATTATGGGCGCTGTGTAACTGGCTGGGAAGAGGGCAGCCAATCCAAAGAGACTTCCCTGGAGGAGAGCGCCGAACGCTGTGGAAGAGACGGAGAGAGGAGAGCGTCATTACCCGTGTGACACCATCACACCACAGATCCACCAACAACCAAGATAAATCTCAGCGAAGATCCAGCCTGCCGGTCATACGGTCGGAGTCATTCCCGCTGAGCGCCATCTTACGCTTCATTCTCACATTACCGAAGCTTCCCGGATCCGATTGCCGGAGGCTGGGGTTCCATAATGGGGTGACTCAGCCAGCCTGTCTGTGTATTTCAGCATCTGCACACGGTCAATAAACCCCACCGACCCCACGGGAAACTTCACATTTATTATATTGTCAGGAATGACGCAGAACAGACACAAATACGGCTGGGAAATACTCATGGAATACAAAAAGCAGCAACCATTTTGAGCAGCAATCAGATTGGGTGTCTTCATCATGTGTGGTGCCCAACTCATGGCCATTGTTGGGGAGGACAACCTGTTAGGCAGGATAAGCTGACCATACATGTTCAGATTTAACCATTATGCAATGTGAGGTCCCGTCTGATTGGGTTTAGGTTGAGGGGATGGTTGTGAGGGTCCTAATACTACATTGTGGTTGGAAGATGATTACGCAATCAGATTGTAACAAGTGTGGCCAGCTTTAGCAGAATCCTTATTGTTCCTGTCTGCCTTAAGCATTACTGACAAGTTCTACCACCCCCAACCCCCCCTCCATAGACACAAGATGCTTGGCTACCTTTTTTGTGATGGATGGATAGATAGACACCCTCATAGTTGGCAATGGATAGACACCTCCATAGTGGTGATGGACTGACAGACACCCCTATAGTGATGAAAGGATAGAGACCCCCAAGGTGACAGATACCCCCATAGTGACAGACAGATACCCTCATAGACCAGGTGGCAGAGACCATCCCATAGTAATAGATGGATAGACAACCCGATAGTAATTGATAGACACCCCATACTGAAGGTCCGACAGACTACCCCATAGTGATGGACAGACACCCTCATAGTGAAGGTCAGACAGATCACCCCATAGTGAAGGCTGGACAAACCACCGCATAGTGAAGGCTGGACAAACCACCGCATAGTGAAGGTGGACAAACCACCGCATAGTGAAGGTCGGACAGACCACCCCATAGTGAAGGTTGGACAGACCACCCCATAGTGAAGTTTAGACAGACCACCCTATAGTGAAGGCTGACAAACCACCGCATAGTGAAGGTCGGACAGACCACCCCATAGTGAAGGCCAGACCAGGGGCAGACTGACAACTTATGGGGCCACTGGGCAATAGGGGATCATGGGGCCCCTGTGTCCTTGCCCACACTCAAAGCACACCCAAAAAAGCCTATAAAAAGGTACCAGGGGCATTTCATGGGGCCCCATAATGACCCCAGGCACTCGGGCAGTGCCCGAGTGATCGAATGGTCAGTCCGCCCCTGGGCCAGACAGACCACCCCATAGTGAAGGTTGGACAGACCACCACATAGCGAAGGTTGGACAGATCAGCCCATAGTGAAGTTCAGATAGACCAACCCATAGTGAAGGTTGGACAGTCTACCCCATAGTAAAGGCCAGACAGACCACCCCATTGTTAAGGCTGGACAAACCGCCCCATAGTGAAGGTTGGACAGAATACCCCATAGTGAAGGCCAGACAGGTCACCCAATAGTGAAGGCTGGATGAACCACCCTATAGTGAAGGTCAGACAGACCACCCCATAGTGAAGGTCGGACAGACCACCCCATAGCAAAAGTCGGACAGACCACCCCATAGTGAAGGTTGGACAGACTACCCCATAGTGATGGATGGACAGACTGCCTCATAGTGATGGATGGACAGACTGCCTCATAGTGATGGATGGACAGACAGCCCCATAGTGATGGATGGACAGACTGTCCCATATGACAGATGTCTCAATAATGGCAGACAGATGCCCCATAGCGACAGACAACCCATAGCGACAGACGCCCCATAGTGATGGATGGACAGCCCCATAGTGATGGATGGACAGACGCCCCATAGCGATGGTCGGACAGACAGTGAATTCTCTCCATACTCACAGTTGATAAAGACGATTTTGATCATCGTTGAAGTGAAGAATGTGACGGGGGAAAAATCGATCTTCACAAAGATGGCCGTCAACAAAAAGACCAGGAATATGGCGGCCAGACTGCCTGCAATACGTATTTTCTGGGGGATCCTGGAGAGAGAGGAGAGAAAAGAGTCAAAACTCATGGTGTCCCCCATTCCTGGTGAGACCGGCAGGTGGAGGACCCCAGTGTAGAACCTGTGGATGGAACCCTTTCTGACTCTCTCCTGCAGAGGGAGGGAGGGAGAGAAGAGCCAGGAACAGGAGCAATGCCGAGAAGAAGAGAACAGCAATAACCCCACCACCTCATCTCCATAACTCCTCCCCTAATCTCCATAACTCCTCCCCTTCCATAGTTCCACAAGCCTGCCCCCCTCTCCCCACCTTCATAACCCCCTCTTCTGATCCTAATCTCCCTCCCCCTCCTTATCTCTATACCCACTCCTCTGTAGTCCAGCAGGGAAGAATTCAGGATGGGCTGACAACACTGCTTGGGATTTCAGTGCAGCAGAGGCAGCGTTGTCAGACCAATACAGGAAGCAAGAAATTCATTGGCTCTCTAGCAGGAAATGTGTGTAAGGGAGAGATGTGCTGAGTGCTTTGTTCCCCGATTGGCCCAGACATACCCATCAACAGCAGCCGCCATGGCGGTGAATCAGGGTCACATGGCTTGCACTGGGCTCTGATCGCCCAGAAGTCAGCTGCGTAGCCTGGACCTTGGTGTACAGGTAATGAGATGTGTGCGGGGGTCTCGGGGGCCCCCTCATCTTCTGGGCCCCCAGCACTCTCTGTAGTCACCCTCCAGGCAGGGGACTGACCTGCTGTGCAGGATGGAGTTCAGACAGGTGAAGATGAGGAGGGGCAGCATGGCGCAGAGGGTCATGACGTTGTTGAACTTGCTCTGTAGTTGGTTCCTCGGTGGTCCCAGCGCTCGGGCCTCGGTGCTGTTCAGGTCGTTGGTGAGAGAGTCGTTTCCAAAGTCGCCTCCATCGCCGGACGCCATCCGCGAGACGTCCGGATCAGCCAGGCGACTGGTGAAATACTGGAAGAGAGGAGGGGGAGGGGACATACTGAGAGCTTCTCTCCTGACTACTAGTTACCCATCATACTAATAATCCAGCCTAATATTTATCCAGGATACTAGTTATCCAGTATATTCAATATCCAATGTACTAGTTATCCAGTATGTACTAGTTATCCAGTATGCCCAATATCCAATGTACTAGTTACCCAGTATATTCAATATCCAATGTACTAGTTATCCAGTATGCCCAATATCCAATGTACTAGTTATCCAGTATGCCCAATATCCAAATAGTTCCAGTATGCCCAATATCCTAGTTACCCAGTATATGCCCAATATCCAATAGTTACAGTAGCCCAATATCCAAGTCTAGTTACCCAGTATATTCAATATCCAATGTATAGTTAAGTCTAGTTACCCAGTATACCAATGTACTAGTTACCAAGTCTAGTTACCCAGTATATTCAATATCCAATGTACTAGTTACCAAGTCTAGTTACCCAGTATATTCAATATCCAATGTACTAGTTATCCAGTATGCCCAATATCCAATGTACTAGTTACCCAGTATGCCCAATATCCAATGTACTAGTTATCCAGTATGCCCAATATCCAATGTATGTTACCCAGTATGCCCAATATCCAATGTACTAGTTACCCAGTATGCCCAATATCCAATGTACTAGTTACCCAGTATATTCAATATCCAATGTACTAGTTACCAAGTCTAGTTTCCCAGTATATTCAATATCCAATGTACTAGTTACCAAGACAACTAGTTACCCAGTATGCTCAATATCCAATGTACTATTTACCAAGACAATGTACTAGTTACCAAGACAACTAGTTACCCAGTATAATCAATATCCAATGTACTAGTTACCAAGACAATTAGTTACCCAGTATATTCAATATACAAAAGATACAACTAGTTACCCAGTATGCCCAATATCCACTGTACTAGTTACCAAGGCAATGTACTAGTTACCAAGACAACTAGTTACCCAGTATAATCAATATCCAATATACTAGTTACCAAGACAATTAGTTACCCAGTATATTCAATATACAAAAGATACAACTAGTTACCCAGTATGCCCAATATCCACTGTACTAGTTACCAAGGCAATGTACTAGTTACCAAGACAACTAGTTACCCAGTATATTCAATATCCAATGTACTTCTTACCAAGACAACTAGTTACCCAGTATATTCAATATACAAAAGATACAACTAGTTACCCAGTATGCTCAATATCCAATGTACTAGTTACCAAGGCAATGTACTAGTTACCAAGACAAGTAGTTACCCAGTATATTCAATATCCAATGTACTTGTTACCAAGACAACTAGTTACCCAGTATATTCAATATACAAAAGATACAACTAGTTACCCAGTATGCTCAATATCCACTGTACTAGTTACCAAGACAACTAGTTACCCAGTATGCTCAATATCCAATGTACTAGTTACCAAGACAACTAGTACAACCCTTTTTATGCTCAATATCCATTGTACTAGTTACCATGACAACTAGTTACCCAGTATGATCAATATCCAATGTACTAGTTACCAAGACAACTAATTACCCAGTATGCTCAGTATCCACTGTACTAGGTACCAATCCAACTAGTTACCCAGTATACTCAATATACAATGTAATAATTACCAAGCCAACTAGTTACACAGTATGCTAATTATCCAGTTTATTAGTTACCCAGTATACTCATTTTCAACCTACTAGTAATCCAGTTTACTAGTCATACAGCTTAATAATTATCCAGCATCTTTATTATCCAGTCTTCTAGTTTCCTGCATACCTTATAGTTACCCAGAATCCTCATTATCCAGACTGATATCCAATTTACTAGTTACCCAGTGTACTTACTTTCAACCTACTAGTTATCCGGTTTACTCGTTATACCGCCTAATAATTATCCAGTATATTTATTATCCAGCATTTTAGATACCCAGAATACTAGATATCTAGTTTACTAGTTGTTCAGCCTACTAATTATCCATTTTATTAGCTACCTAGCTATCCTGTGTAATAATTGCCCAGCATATTAGTTATGCAGTATACAAAAAACAAGCCCACCGGTGATACAGTATGTTCATTGTATGACTACTTGTTATCTTGTGTACTCAATGTCCAGCTGACCAGTTATCCAGTTTACTAGTTACCCAGCGTACCATTTATCCAGTATATTTATTATCCAGCTTACTAGTTACCAAGCCAACTAGTATGCTCACAATCCAGCCAAATAGAAATCTCATTTACTAGTTACCCAGTAATCTAATTTTCAGCCTAACCTAAAAATAATCAAGCATAACTATTATCCCACCTGTTAGTTACCCTGCCTATTAATTTTTGTTAGCATATTACCATTGTACTAGTTACCCAGCCTACTAGTTGTTTAGTATACTCATTATCCAGCCTAATAGTTAGCCCCTATTCCTATTGTCCAGCTCTGCAGTACACAGTATACAGTATACAGTATACTTATTGACCAGCATATCTAGTGTGCTCATTAACCATCCTACTAGTTATTAAGTATACAAATCACCCTGCCTACTAGTTATCTTAGTACAATCTACTAGTTAACCAGTTTGTTAGTATTTCGGTATACTCATTATCCAGCCTACTAGTTATTGAGTATACTCATTATCCAGCCTACTAGTTACTGAGCCTATTTATCCAGTATACTCATTATGCAGACTACTAGTTATCTAAGATACTCATTGTCCAGACAACTAGTTATTTAAGATACTCATTATCCAGCCTACTAGTTATACAGTATACTTATTGACTAGTTATCTAGTGTGCTCATTATCCATCCTACTAGTTATTAAGTATACTAATCGCCCAGCCTACTAGTTATCTTATATTCTCAAAATACACCCTACTAGTTAGGTGTACCAGTTTACCAGGTCTAGGTCTACCAGTTTGCTAGTATTTCGGTATACTCATTATCCAGCCTACTAGTTACTGAGCCTATTATTTATCCAGTATACTCATTATGCAGACTACTAGTTATCTAAGATACGCATTATCCAGCCTACTAGTTATACAGTATACTCATTATCCAGACTGCTAGTTATTCAGTATCCTACTATTTATCCAGCATACTCATTATGCAGACTACTAGTTATCTAAGATACTCATTATCCAGCCTACTAGTTATACAGTATACTGATTGACCAGCATACTTGTTATGTAGTGTGCTCATTATCCATCCTACTAGTTATTAAGTATACTAATCGCCCAGCCTACTAGTTTTCTTATATTCCCATAGTACAACCTACTAGTTAACCATTTTGCTAGTATTTTGGTATACTCATTATCCAGCCTACTATTCAGTATACTCATCACTCAGCCTACTAGTTATCCTGTATTCCCATAGTGAGGCCTACTAGTTATCCTGTATTCCCATAGTGAGGCCTACTAGTTATCCTGTATTCCCATAGTGAGGCCTACTAGTTATCCAGTGTACTAGTCACCCAACCCGATGACCGCTGGCCCCCCAGACAAGCCTTTGCAGTTATCAGCAGTTTAGCTCTCTCCAATCCCGCGGAGTTTAGCTGTCAGTTACCGCAGACTTACCATGGTGGCCGTCATGAAGAAGTTCCAGGGCAGCAGAGTGCCGAGCCCGAGGGTGAAGAATATTAACCAGACAGCGTTGTACCTGGGGAGAGGAGGAGGAAAAGGTTACACAGAGCCCGGGGGAGGGGCAACCCCATCCACACACCCCTACTGCAAACCCAAAGGATCCTTACCACCATCTAGTGGCTAAATGTGGTAATTGTTTTTTAAATCAATGAAAGCTATTCAACCAGCACAGGAGATACCCTAATAACATTTGTTGTTTTTTTTTGGGGGGGGGGGGGGGTTGCCACATTTGAAACACATTACTGCACATGCGCTTTCAATGGGTGAATTGCTATGAAAATATATTTTTATACATACACCCCTTAGTGTTGGGCTGCATCGGGAAGTGCGGTTACTGGCAGGATCTCCAGGTAAGGAACTAAAAACGATTTTAGGAAAACTGTATACAGGGATCATCATGCCAAACATGCTGGAAAATAGATTTAGTGTGTAATATATATACTGTATATACACGGCTCCAAAAAATGAAAGGAAGACTTTGTAATCCGAGTCTAGCATCAAGTCCATGACACTCCTGGGATATTGATCTGGTCAGGTAAGTAGCAGAGGGGGTTGTTCATCAGTTTCAGCTGCTTTGGTGTTCATGAAATTAACAACAGGTACACTAGATGGGCAACAATGAGACGACCCCCAAAACAGGAATGGTTTTACAGGTGGAGGCCACTGACAGTTATTTCCCTA